TCTTAAAGAATAGTAAATTTTTATTATATTGTAATTATTTGAGTTTTATGTATCTCGCCTAAGTCTATCATATTTAATCTATGGCTACGATCAACGCTTTAATTTGTTTAACTTTTTTGAAAATGATTAAAATGCTTAATTTCCACACTATAAACCAACATAAGAACCTAACCAAGGTAAGAAATACTCCCTCCGTTTCAGATTAGTTGTCGCTTTGGCAAAATGAATATGCAATTATTTGGATTTATTAAATTCAAAACACATCCAGATACATTTAAATAATTGCAAATACATTTTGTCAAAATGACAACTAATTTGAAACGAAGAGAATATATCGTATGAAATTTCAAAATAGTTATATTTACATTTTCTTATTAAAAAAATACAAATTCAAAAATACTATTTCAAAATAGTTATATTTACATTTTCTTTGATGACGTCTCTGTGAGATTCTGTTTTTTTTTTGTTAAAGAGTATTCTGATTTTGAATTGTATACATGTTATAGTATCTTCCTTTTTTAATGCTTCCGCCACTGTCATATTTTTGGAACTATAGTCTATAGAGGAATAAGAATGACGCAAGCGTACCAGCTAAGGAGAAATTTCCATCTTGTGAGCTTTCCTTTGGCATATATATGATACTAACAAGGTCTATCCACACAACTCTGAAAATTTTCTTTTGCATTGTAATCTTTCATCTGGCATTAATAATTTGACCTATTCACTTACAAAGTTACTATTTCAGTATGAAGTTTTAATGGACTAATTTAACCATGTTGGAATTTTTTTGGAAACTTAAAAAGGGTAGTTCTATTATCTAGATGCTATGGTGGAAATTAGTAAAAGAATGGTGCAAGTATGGCCAATTTTATACAAACCATTTTTAGATAATAATCATCATATTTACAAAGTTATTCGAGAAACCTAGGCGGGAGACTAATATTCTCAAGATATTAAACAAGCTTTATAAGGTTACTATTTCCTCCCAAGGTAAATACCAAATTGGCTTTGTGGTTAATAATAAACCGTTTATTATCGTCAAGTTGAACAGATGGAAATTTTAAGTTCCATACAATGATCAAGAGCGTAAGAGAAAGACATAAATAGTCCTTACGATATATAGAAGTATAGTGTAACACAGCAAGAAACCAAAGTTACATAGTTTATGTACTTACCAATATAGTCCATTATGAAACTACAATCTCAAATTTGAAAAATCAACTAATAATGATTGAAAACTGGAGAGTATATCAACTACACCATCAAAATTACCAAGTCACTTGATCTCTAATAACCCATGTGTTACCTGGCTTTTCAAAATTGGAAGTAGGAAAATTATAGATTTAGAACACATGTTTAACATAAACATCGACGTGTAGACAATCAAGTATCGAACCCATAACATGAAACAGATCCATGAAGGATTGTCCGCTCCATTTGAATCCGTTGTTGATTTTGATACATTAAGAGAATGAAGATTATACATCGTCCTAAAGATGTTCAAATAATAATCTAACAGCATAATATAAACAAAACTGATTTAAATGATAAGAGTGAAGAGAGGTATAGACTAAAAGTTGTAGAAGATCTAATGAGATTGAGAAGTAAAAAACTAGTATGATCATTGTCACTTCCCTACAAGCATCTTTTCATTGTTCGTGATGACTCAATCCTATTTGTTGTTCTTCTATTCTTATTTCTACATACATGGTATATAGCCAAAAAGTAGTGGAAAAACATATTTGTATTTTAATTTATTAGTTATTTAATTCAGTAAAAGTTAGTTGTCTTCATTATTGTTTTATTTAATTATATTTATAAAATCTTTGTTTGGGCAAAATTTAACCGGTTCGCAAGTACAATAAACGGAATGACGCAGGAGAAGATATCTTATTAATCAATTGAATATCGAGCTACAACAAGTCAATATCAAAGATTAAACTAAGAGAATCTCGTCTGTCGCTCGTCGTAGATCGTAGTTCGTCGTATCTAGGTTGTTCGTCGCTTGCTCGTCGAGAGGCGAAGAACAAGTAGCTATTAGGGTTTTTGTGTGTTTTTCTGAATGAGTCTCTTGGTTCTAGGACCTCTTATTTATAGGTGTTCGTCGGTCCTAGTCCTTATCGAGTTGGGCTTTGACGTCGATCGTAACTTTCTATTTCCTACGTCGGTCGTCATTCCTAATTTCCTTAGAAGTGCATGTCGGTCCTTTACAATTCCAATAGATTTAGGAAATTGTATAAAACCATTGGTCATTGCTAAACCGTTAACAAACATCGTCGGTCGCTGCCTTATCACGTCGATGTTAAGGCCTTTTAGACAATAAGGAGTAAGATCGACCGGTCATCATGGTCGTCGGTCGACAATATTCCCAGCTTATAATAGAGTTAAGGAGCGACCGGTTAGTGAATTTATTTCACCCAACAATCTTATAAACAGATATATATATATACATACAAAAATTGATACATCATATTTTTAATATTTTATAGTAAAAACTGTATGTAAATTTATTAGTCTTTCTAAAATTTAGTAAAAAAAAAATCATTTATACAGATCCGCTACGCGCGGCTATAAAACCTAGAAGTCAATGGCTATAAGCTATTAAGTAGGACTGGGCACAAGTACTTGATACTTGCTCAAAACCCGCTATTTGCCCCGTACCCCCGCCAAACCAAGTACTTGCCCCGTACAAGGCAAGTAACAAGTCGCTTTTATAAATTACTTGCAAGTACAAGGCAAGTATCAAGTCTTAAAAAAAAAATCATTACCCGCCTTGTTATGACCCGCCTTGTACAAATATTTGATATTTACAATTTTTTGTATTTTTTTCACATATAATGAAAAAATAAAGTTTTTTTCTTGTAAATAAGAGATCCATTGTCATTAATTGCCAACAACAAGGGTTTTTAAAAACCTACATTATAAATATGAACAAATTAATGGGCTTTTTCTAATTATAGCCCAAAATTGTGAAATATTTACTTTTATTTTTGTGTTTTTACAAGTTGCAAGGCAAGGCAAGTACCCGCAAGTAATGAAAATATGAACAAGTACTTGAAGGAGCAAGTACTTGACAAGGCAAGGCAAGTCGCAAGTCGAAATTTCAAATATTTTCACAAGGCAAGGCAAGTCGCAAGTACACTGCCCACCCCTAATTAAGGGCGTCAATATTAGATTTTAAGACGCAATTTTATTGGTTCACATAATCATCAACTTCAAAATTAAGAAAGTTTCTAAATTTTAGACAACCAATAGTATGAGTCCACATCATCATATGATTTTATTGGTCCAAATAATCATCACCAAAATTAAATATTTTTCCAAATTTTAAACAACCAATAGTATCATTCCACATCATTATCTAAAATTATTATTTCATAGCATCACCAAAATTAATTAATTAAGTATTTACATGATTAAGAAAATTTACAATTTTTAAACATGTAAGAGATAAGGAAATTAAGTATATATGATTTTAATCAACCAATATTATCATTCCACATCATCACCAAAATTAATTAATTGTGTTTCTTTTCAAATTTTTTATTAATTAAATATTTATAAAATAAAGAAATTATATTTTCTAATAACAGCAAAAATAAAATAAAAAATTTAAATTAGTTATATTAAATTTTAAACAGCTAATATTATTAGTATACATAAGCTTATTTAATACTAAGAACTTTTTTAAAATTAAAATTTTTGTTAAGACAAGAATGAAATACATGAAACAAAAAAAAGAACACAAAGGGGAATAAAAAATAGTATAAGTATAGATGAGTGAAAAAGAAAAAAAAAACAAAGAAGAAATCAAAGTAGGAGAAATTGAAGATAATAAATAAAAGAAATTAAAAACATGGAAACAAGAGTGAAAAAGGAAATGAAACCAAATAAAAAACATAAAGAAGGAATAAAGAACAGCGATGACGACGAAAAGCATAAGCCAAATAAGAACAGAAAGGAGGAACAAAGAAATGCGAAGACGAAGAAGAGCATTACCGAAGATGAGTGAAGATAAATAAGAAACCAAATAAGAACAAAGAGGAATTCAAAGTAGGAAAAATTGAAGACGAATAAATAAAAGAAAATTTTTACCCCAAAAAAAGAAAAAAAAAAGAAAAAAAATTAAAAAACCTAGGAATAAGAGTGAAGCAGTAAATAATGAATAACGATGTGCGCTGATTAGCTTCTCTTCAAATAAATTTTATACCCCTAGAAATCTAAGCTAAATATTAGTATTACTTATCTATATATTATAATATTAACTTTTTGCTAGCTTAAATTTATTCAGATGTACATTTTTTTTGTTTTTAGTTTCGCTAGGTGTATCAGATAGTGAAAATTCATTCAACCTAAGATTAGAAATATTTATACTAAATATATTTACAAAAGATAGTTGTGAATAATTTAAAGTGAAGAACAACTGATATAGCCATATATTAACCCATTTTAGTATACTTTTACATGCATATTTACATTATCTGAGTCTCATTTGCATACATTTAAGTCTTAATATCTCTATCTATACATTTGCATCCTCTTTGGGACTGCATTGCATATACATTGCATTTTGAGTCTAAATCAGGTACTTTTGGGAGCTTTGGATCCAATTGGGAATATGGAGTGTTGGGGACGTTGAAAGAGCTCGCAGCCAGGATGCCATTCAGGATCAGGAAACCCGATTCTCGCCTTGTAAGCTTTCCTTGACCAAGAAAGGAGTTGACTTTAGTCAAGATAGACGAAGCCAAAGTGAAAAGCTGAGTTTTGGAGCTTAAATCTTGGGGAAGGAAAGAAGAAGGGTTTTAGAGTCTCCACTATATAAACTTAAGTCCTAAATTTTTAGGCATCTTGTAATTTGTCTTTCATTTTGCCACCAAAAATACTCTAGTTTGAGATCTTAGACTTTGTAAGCTTTCATCTCTTTCTCTTTAATAAAATCACGTACTTGTTTACTCTCTTGTGTATCTCATCTTGCTTGCTTGTTTAACAACCTTTCCTCTATGGGAATCGGTTTGTTAAACAGGATGAGTGAGTAGTCTTTTAGATTGCTTTAGGTGTTGCGGTTTTGAGAGTTTTAAAGGAGAGCTTTGTGTTTAAAGCTGGGACCTTTTGGAGCTTCTCCTTGCTTAGTGCCCTTAAGGCTGAGTCTTTTCTGATCATCTTGACTCAGATCTCAAGCTCTCTACACAGAAAAGTGTGTTTGAGTGCTAGATAATCTAAGTCAAGGGATTTGCTTTCCTAGCTCGCGATAGCGATTGTTTAGGGAGTTCTTTGGGGTTGGGATCTAAGCTTTAAGCTTGCTCGAGTCTGGGTTCACTGACGATAGTCAGTTCTTGAGCCTAGACCTTGCATTTAAGCTTCATTCACGATAGTGATGAGCTTTCCTCTGTTTTCCTTAGCCTAGAAGCTTGGTCTTATTCTCTAAGCTCAAAGTCTCCTCCTTTAGCTTGATTTTCAACGCATCCACCTAAAGGAGTCGCCTTTCTTCATTTATCTTATCAAGTTCCAATCTTTTAGCTCAAAGTTCAAATCTTTGTCTTTGATTCTAGTTTTGGACCGTTAATTTACTGTTCTAGTTCGTTATTTTACTGTTGAGTATTTGGATTTCTTAAAAACCTTATCTTGTTCTTGACTTGAAGCTTTTCTTGTATTCTTTTAAGACCCAATCTCTCTAGGATTTGGATTGACATATTTACTATGCTGCAATGATATGAGCAGGGATTGAAGGGTTTGAATTTATGAAAAATCATGTTTTCAAACTGGCGCCGTTGCCGATTCTAGAGATTTGATTGGGCTTTTTCGATTTGGAAAAATTTCGAGCTCAAGTTTTAATTTTTAATCGTGTTATCTAATCTGCCTGGGATTTGCTCTGCTTTGTACTCAGGTGTATGCAAATGCTCTCGTGGAAGTTCAAACTTGTTAAGTCCACACGAGCTTCAGCGAGCTGATCGTGAGAAGCAAAAACGCAGAGCAAGAAACAGAGCTGAAAGAGAGTCGACTTCTGAGGTCGAGTTGCGAGAAGCCGACTCTGCGCCTGATACAATGGCTGACAACGCCGGAGGAGCTCCTCCACCGGGAGTGAATCCACCACCAGAAGGATTCCGGTTCATGCTCAACGTCCGGCGCGACTAATCGTAGCCGGCGACACACCAACCATTCCGGAAAACCGCCCCGACATTACCCCACCACCGGTTCCCAACAATAACTTCACATCAAGACGAGCTTGATAAACTTGGTCGAGAATTCAATCTTTCATGGGATGAAAGATGAAGATCCTCTGAAGCACCTAGAAACGTTTGATCGGATATGTGCTTTGCAAAAGATCAACAACGTGACAGAAGATGGTCTCAAACTGAGATTGTTCCCATTTTCCTTGGGAGGAAAGGCTCTAGCTTGGGAATCATCAATCCAACCGGGAACAGTCACGACATGGGAGCAATGCAAACACGCATTTTTGGCCAAGTTCTTCCCGACTTCACGTACAGCTCAGTTGCGGAATGAGATTGCGAGTTTCAGTCAACCAACGGGTGAAACATTTGCTGAGGCTTATGAGCGTTTCAATGGTTATCAAATGAGGTGTCCACACCATGGCTTCTCCAAAGAGAACCTCCTAAGTACACTTTACAGAGGAGCCTTACCAAGATGCATTTGGATTTAGCAAGCAATGGTCACTTCATGGGAAAGGATGTCGATGAAGGTCTCATCCTCGTCGAGAATATTGCGCTTGGTGATGGGAAATTATCTGAGGAGTATGACCGCAATGACAGAGGAAACTCAGTCCAAGATGAAGACACAGAAAAGAGCTCAAGACCCTGAATGACAAGCTTGACAAGATCTTGACTGGACAGCAAAAGCAGGTTCACTTTGTTTGTGAAGATGACGTGAACCAAGAGGAGGAGGATCCACAAACAGAGGAAGTGTGCTACATGAGCAACCAATGGGAGGCTACAACAAGGGTATAATACAAACAACAACACGAACCTCTCCTATCGCAACACTAATTTTGAGAATCCTCAAGATCAAGTGTATCCACCTCAACAAGGCCAAAACCAAGGAGGACAACAAACCGTGTACTTCAAGAGAGGTTACCCACCAAAGGTTTTTGGTAACCATAATCAAGGCTCTACTCAGGCTCAGGCAGGGAGTAGCTCAGTCAAGAATCTGACATGAAGACAATGCTTCAGCAACTTATCAAAGGACAAGCCAGTGGAGCTACCGAGCTCAACACCAAGCTAGCGGAGATAACAACAAAGTAGACTGCTCTTACAATGATCTCAACAAGAAGTTGGAATCATTGAACTCGAATGTTCAACATTTGGAAGCTAAGAGCCACAACATTCCATCTTCTTCAAAGGGTATGCTTCCTGGAAAAGCAATTACAAACCCCAAAGAGTATGTGCAAGCAATTACTCTTAAGAGTGG